TGAGCCCTCCCCCCGGTTGCAGAGGCACCGTGCCCTGTGGACCTGCTCGCCCGCCGTCGCTGCGGCTGGGTTCCTGATCTGAGACGTGCCCTGTCCGAGTTGTGTGAGCACACATGCTCCGGACCCCTGTGGGAGGGGCGGGCTTCTGCGTGTTCTTCGCGGTCTACCAGCCTCCCACTTGCCCGTGTGCTGGGATGCAGACGCCCGAGAGCCTTCTAGAACGTAGAAGAGCTCTAGATGGCGGTGGGCGGCTGGGGAGGGGGAGGCCCCCGGAAGAACACTCCGCCCCAGCGCGAACACACCCTGCACGGCCGTGGCCACTCAGCGTTGAGCACCTTCCATCCCAGTATCTGGTCCTCGGGGCGAGGCTGGGGCCTCCCGTGAGGACTGGGATGAAGGAGAGGGGGTTTGGGGACTTTTGGCAGCTGCCTCCTCTTCTCGCGTTCTGCCTCTTAACGTTGCCAGCCTGAGGCCGACTGGGGTGTGGCCTCGCGGGGGAGGGACCCTCGCCCGCCAGCGCCCAGACTCCAGACTCTGCCCCAGGAGTTACCCAGTCTCTAGTCCGGTGCTCCTCACACTTTTATACCCCTAAAGGAATTTTTTAAAAAACATGTCCACCCCCTGCATGTTCTAAATTGCCATCTGAAATTTTCAACGTCATTTTAAGCAGGTCCCAACGATGCCATTTTCACCACATTGTAAATATTGACATTAAAAATGCATTATTTCTTCAATGTATCTAATGAACTTTAAATACCAGAAAATTTGATTCATCATCTTCTATTAAACACACAAACAAGTTCTTAAACAGTTTGACAGGGGTTCTTTTCCTTCTTGAATTTATATTTTTATTCCAGTTACCCTATTGAATTTTATCCTTCTGTATTATATTTTTATGCATGAAGGCATTTTATTGGCCACTCTGTCATAATTTAGTGTGATAAAAATATGTATGAAGATTTCAATTTAATTTTTAATGTCCAATGACCATAAGTTTCTAGATGTTAAGAGCTTTTGGATTGAGTTATCATTACAATTATTTGTAATACACAGAAATAGGCAATGAATACGAAAGATTGAGAGTATAATATTTTTGGAAATGCATCTGTTATGTACTTGAATACTTTATGTATTCATAATGAACATTATTTATTGCCAAAGTAAGAAAGGTTCAGGATTAATTCTCGTTCTCTTTCTCATTCTTATGAACATAGGAAATGAGGACTGTTACTCACAGTAAACAAATAAGGTGGGAAAGGAAGGGTTTTTGTCACTGCAGCCTGAGTCAGTTCTTGAAACGATCATCTAGGTCTTTGTCTAAGGTCACGCATTGGTCTCTTACCAAGAGTCTTTTTTACATCTGTGCTCCTTCAGCTGTTTGGAAGGACCTGGGAACTTCCTGACTTGCAACAGGATTTATTTCCCGGTCGCTAGAGACACTCATTTTTGACAACTGTACCAGTATTTCGTGGCGTTCACTTGTACTCTGTGGGTTTTCTCTCCTGAGATTTTGAGTGAGTGAGAGACCTGTGCTCCTTCTGGGAGGGGCAGGTAGGGGTGTGTGGCAGGGGAGGGTGTGTGTGCACTCGTGTGCGTGTGTGTGTGTGTGTGTGCATGCACATACGTGTACAATTGAGAGCCTACAGGCGGTTGTAGGTTCTCAGTACAGTTTTAGAAAAACTCCATAGGAGACAGGTATGGGATGTTACCCTTTGCCTAGGAAAAGGAGGAAAGTGAATACAACCTGTGTTTGCTTATGTTAGTAACAGCAGAAGAACAGACCGAAGACAAACAGAAAACAAGTTACCCGGAGGGAAGGAGCGGAGCAGGGGGGTGAGCAGAGGTGGTGTTAGACTCAGTCTTCCTGTGCCTTGTTGTGTGGGTTAGACTTGGAAGCACGCAACAGTGTTTCCATCACAATAAAACACCATTAAATGGCATAAGAAAGAAAAAGCAATCCTTAAAAATAAAAAGCAACATGAAACTACTAAACCTAACTGCGCATTACGTTGGCGACCTCACCGCAGAGAAAGCACTGTTGCGAGTGGCCGGCGCTGCGCAGGTATCCCCACCGCGTGGTGAGCCCCAGTGCATCCTAAGGACGGGAGGAACGGCGGAGACTGCAGACAGCCTCCGGGAACCACGTTGCTAGTGACACTGCTCGAGCTGCTATTTTGAAATGCATACGTGCATAAACATACAACATATACTAAACTAAAGCAAATAATACTACTAATATTACTAGCAAGTAATAATATTAGCTACTAATAATACTTGCTAGTATTACTAGCAAGTAATACTACTAATGTTAGGAATGAAGGTTTTTAGCGTAAGAAAAATGCAGATATAAAATCAAAGAAAACCACACACACACACACACACACACACACACACAGGAGCTGAGGATGCATCTCCAAACCAAAGCAAACGAAAACAAACCTCTCTTTGGTCACCTTTGGGGGATGCAAGGGAATGAGTTCCTTAGTCTGAGAACTGGCAAATAAAGGGGGAGAACCAGGCATTTCCTACATCGGCTGTTACCGGGATAACCACGCAGTTACTGCAGGAAAGTTCTAATTCACTGGAGGTGTCCAGCTACCATCGGCAGGGGGGACACTGGAGTCAGAATGCCATCCTTTTGCAGCCGCTAAGGAAACACCGGGTCATCTGGGCCATGACCCTCAGTGGCTGCCAGTGTCACTGGACGGAAGGGAGCTGGCTAAAGGACGGTCCAGCCGACAGCACCTGGGCCCACAGTAGCAGAGGTGTGGGAGGGAGGGTGCCTCCCAAGGTGGTATGATCCGGAGATCTCTGAGGACTCGTTTTGTATCTGGAATCATTTCTTGGGATCTCTGCCTTATTCTTATGCGTCCCATTTCATGGCTGAGCCTTCGGATTCTCAGAGGGTCTCACCGAGAGCCCGGATCATTGGTCGGCATCCCTCAGGCAGCGCCCGGGCCGGTGGCCGTTCTTCCTCTGAGAAAGGGGACGATGGGAGAGGGGATTAGGTGGGTTGTGTGTGTGTGTGTGTGTGTGTAAAACACCCAGCAGCTGGTGCTCATGTGCGTGAATTAGTGTTTTACTTATTAAGATTGTTGTAGCAGCCTATAGCTTGTCTGCCCAGGTCAATGCTTTTCACCACGGGAGGATCTGACCACTGCCTTTCCCGGGCCAGCCCTCTCCACTGTGGGAGGAGGACGCCGGTAGCCCTGAAGGGAGGCCAGTGGAGTCTAGGGGGACCTTCACCAGAAACCTGGGGGACCTGGGAGGCTGGGTCTGCGGTGCTGCACAGAAGCACGGAGGCCACGCCTGGGTGCCCTCGTGGCCCTTGGTGTCTGGCTGTGCGTTTAGTGGTGCTCAGGGGTGTCCCCTTGCTTCAGGCAGGGCTCTGCCTGACGCCTGGGCGGGAGACCGGGGAACCGGAATGTGAGCACGCCAGGTGCTTGTCAGAAGTCACGTCAGAGCCCGGAGCTCCGACTTCCAGTTCATTGCTTTCGGTTGTCTGGCTGGCCTCTTGACATATTTTTTTCCTGCTCCTGGAGGAATGCTGTCTGTGCATCCCCCACCTGGCGCTGCCGCCCAGAGAGACTCTCCGTACGTGCTCCTTGGTGGGGAGAATTGGCAGCCAGCCGATACCCTTCCGGGGCTTTTCTGCCCAAACACAGACGCTCGTCGACGTCACGCCAGCACACGTGGGTGTCCCTGTCTCTGCAAGCCGGGAGGTTCCCCGCGGAGCACTGGCTCTGGGCCCCGTATAGAACCCTCACACGAGGCAAAGCCCAGAGCCGGCTGGCAGGAGTCCGTGGTCAGCGCTCCTGAATCCCCGACTTCTGTTTTCTGAATCAGGAACCCAGGTCCGATGAAAGGTTCTACTGGGTTCAATCATGAGCAGAACTTTCTTCTAAACACACCACCTTATGACGACATAGAACTTAAATCAGTTAGGTCCACTTGTTTCTCTTTATTCGTATGTTCATTTTCCTTGTGGTGTTTTTAAATTTTCAACTGTGATACATGATCGAGGTGAAATTTCCAACTGTGCAGACTTGTGCATAGTAGAAAGTGGAGTTTTCTCTGGGGTCGGGGCTCGCTGGCACTCCGCTCCCCGGAGGAAACCAGTGCTTTAACCTGACGGCTGTCTCTCTGGATTTTTTCTTGTGTGCTTACAGAGTGATACATTGTTGCCCTGTGAGACATTTGCTAGTGCACACCTATTCTTAGTGAAGGAGAATGCTAGTGTACATTTCGAATGTCTTGAGTTTTCATTGAACATAGTTCCTGTCACCACGCATCACTCACTCTACGACACTCCTTTGAACTGCCTCATCCACACTTGGTGGTCGACAAATCGTTGCCCTTGAAAACAATGACATCAACATCTCCAGCAGAGTATTTTTGCTCACATGACCTAGCCTTTTTCCAAGACTCCCCGAGATGACATCACTGGGTGAAAAGGCCACTCACATCGCTAGCGTGGGCAGCTCCCGCCACAGTGCCTCAGAGAGGCTGCCGGAGTTCCGGCGGCGGCATCCGGGGACGACCGCTCAGACCTCCGCAAGCACCAGAGACCATCCGTCCTTTGCATGTTACTCACACGGCATTAAAAAGTGTGTCTCTCTGTCGTTTCGATGAGCATCTCTTCATGTGTCTGTGGCCGTGTGTAGCTTTTTAATGGATCATCTGCTCTTACTCTTCACTCATTTTTCTGTTGGGTTGCTTTCTTAAACTAACATAAAGGACCGCTTTATAATACGTGGCATTTCATTCTCTGTTATGTATATTGCAAGTATTTTTTTCCTGTCATTTGTGTTTTAACTGTGTTTATTTTGCATTTTGCCATGCAGAAGTATTCACTTTTACAAGTCGTATCTCTACGTCCTTATTCTTTATGGCTTTGTGCACATGTGTCTGATTTAGGAAGGTCTTCCTCTCCTAAGGTTGTACAAATACTTTTCTAAGTTTTCTTCTAATATTATTATTGTTTTGTTTTTTATGTTTAGCTCTTTAATCCATCTGGAAATGATTTTTGTATATGGTGTGAGGTAGGTATCTAAGTGTACTTTTTAAATAAATAGTCCATTGTCCCAATGCTTTGCTGACTAACCCACCATTTCATCTATTTAATTCTGATATTTGTGTACGAGTCTGCTGCTAGACTCTATTCTGCTCCATTGACCAATGAAACTTGTCTATTCCTATGCCAATAACACAGTGTGCTCATTACCGAAGTTTGATGATATGTATTACTCTCTGATAAATATCCCTTGTCGTGCTATTTCAAATATACCTGAGCTTTTATTCAGTATTTCACTCCTCTAGCTGACTTTCAGAATCACTGTGTCACCTTCCATACATCATTCCATCGGGGCCTTTATTTGGATTGTGCTGAAGTTTTAGGCTAATTTTAACGAGAAATGAGAGATTTGTGAGATTCAGGATCCTGAGTCTTTTCTTCCAAAGAAAAGACATCTTTCTAATTGTTTAGATCTTTTATGTTTTTCAACACTTTTCTTTAGCTAGGCCTTCTGTATTTTTTTGCTGAGGTTCATGCCCAGGAATTTTAAATGTTCCGTTGCCTTGGTACAAACAATCTTATATTTTGAAGTCCCACTGAATTTTGAAGTCCCAGCTGCTGGCGTGTGCAAGGAGTTTGATTTCGTGTGTTTGTTTCACATCTGGGTAGCTTGTTACACCACGTAATTATTCCAACTGCTTCTTAGTTAATTGTCTTGAATAGTCATATCATAAGCAGACAATGGCAATTTTGATTCTGCCTTTTTAATATTTTACTTTGTTTTAATTCTTGCTTTATTACATTGGCTAGGACCCCACCCAAACAGAGATGCGTAGAATCAGGGATAGGAGATACCTCTGGGCTTCTAATGTTTTATCAGTAAATACGATGGTTAATGTGTTAAGTAAAGGAAGGTACCTTCTGTTAGTAATGAATTAGAGCTTTGAATCAGGAAAGGGTGTTGGAAAATGTTGGCATCTTTTAAAAGGATGGTTTTCCTTTTATCTTTTAATTTAGTGAATTAGACAGATTTTTTTTAAGACAGGCATTTTTTCATTTCTAGCATAAAACTTACTGAGTTATAATATAGAATTATTATAATCTATTGCTGATTTGGTAACCTTTTATTTAGATGTTGACGCTGTATTCATACCTGAGATAGTTTTACACGTATGTAAACAGCATGCCTGTGTCTGTATTCACATAGTAAAGACCGTTCACTAAGCTTCCCTGACTTTGTCAACAGGGGCGTCCCAGCCACAGAGTGCGGCTTGGGGACCTTTGATTTACTTTTTGTTTTGTTTTGTTTTGGTTTTGGAAAAGTATAAATAGGGTAGACAACTTTAGTAGAACTTACCCATTAAACCATTGTACTTTTTTAATGTATAGTGTTTTTTTTTTTACTGCAATTGAAAGTGTTTTTGTAGTTAAGTTTTTGGTTTTCTTAACTTTTTTAAAATTAATATTTTCTAGTAACTCAGTCATGGCATCTATATCTCACATTTTCTTTTTTTAAAATTTTTATTTATTTATTTTTAGAGAGGGAAGGAGGGGGAGAGAGAGAGAGAAACATCAGTGTGTGGTTGCTGGGGGTCATGGCCTGCAACCCAGGCATGTGCCCTGGCTGGGAATCAAACCTACAACACTTTGGTTCGCAGCCCGTGCTCCATCCACTGAGCTACGCCAGCCAGGGGTATATCTCACATTTTATTGTTGCAGAACTCTTACCGTTTTCCACTGTGTCCTCTGCATCCCTGACTGACCCGGCCAGAGGCTTCTATTGCTTTTGGAAGGATGAGCAGTTGGTTACGTAGAGATAGTCCGCTTCCCTGGCCTCTCGTGATGTGTTTTCTTTGCTTGCTTTCACACCAACTCCTCATTATATTTGTATTACTTCTTTTCCCTTGCTTTCTATAAATTTTCCTGGTAGGTCTTTACTACCTTTAAAAAATCGAATTCTTATCTAATTTAATTCTATTTTAACTATTTTATAAATAAGTGCTTAAGTGCTGTAAATTTTTTCCCAAAAGTTACTTTAGCTACAATTCATATTATTATGGAAGTTTTGAATTTTGCTTTTAATTATCTTTTACCAAATAGTTTTTTTTAATTGACCAGAGAGAACCTTTTAAAAAATCTATCCTTTTGTTCTTCATTTCCAGTTTCCTTGGCACAGTAGATGCTTCTCACTTTTACTGTATGTGGTTTACTTTTTTTTGCTTCGAATTTCAGATTTCCTTTGAGGTATAACATAGTGGTTGGTGTTTATCAGTTTTTTTTAGATTATTGAGAATAATATGCAGCTTTTAGGGAGGCTGAAAATCACACGGCACGTCTCACAGTTAACGCTCATTATTTGCATTTTAAAAATGTATCTTCACTTATGTTGTACTCTTGATCTGCTAATGTGTGAGAGGAAAAATTTTTAATTTTTTTAACTATAATTGTAGCTGCGTCAGTTTCCTTTTATTAATAACTTGTTTTACTCTTTATACTTTTTAATTGCTATTTTAATTGGAGCATAAAAGTTTACAATGACGAAAATGGTGAATTTTGCCATCTTCAAATATGATATAAATCACTGCCACATGGTTCTTGGCACCCTGAAATTTTTTCATGGATATATAATCAATTTCAATATATTATCTATTTAATAGATGTTACAATGTATACTGAATATTCTATATTCAACATGCATGTACTTTCCCTTTATTGTATTTTTGTATTCTTTCATCTTTAATATCTTGTGATAGTTATAGGTATCTTTCCTAAAGAACATGCACTATATTTTTAACACATTTTTTCTTATTTAAGAGATAGTATTTGTACTTACTGCTTATAATGATGTTATTTAAACTTTTTCATTTTATGCTTTCTATTCACCATTATCCCACTGCTTTCTGTGGTCATTCTGGTATCAGAGGTTTTTAGTTCTATCTTCCTGAAACTGATTTAGAAGCCATATATTCTAGTTCTATTCTTTTAGAAACTACTTAGAAATGTTAGCAAGCCCCCTTAAATTTAAGCTGTTACAATCAACGGCTGAAGGCTGTCGGTGAGCTGCCTCTCCCTTCTGTCTGAAGACACAGTCTTGATCAGGCTTTTCATGATCTCTCCACCTAATTTTCTGTGCACTTACGGTTGAAATCATCTAGAGGTTTCATTTCAAAGAAGTATGGCTAATAGTGGCAGTGGTAATACTATTACCATTATTAGTAGTATTATTTACTTTATGTCTATTTTGTAGAAGCCTTTATTGGTAATTGTATCACATTTTACTACCAAATTAGCAACCTTTATTTAGATTTAAATGCATTTTGTGGCTTACTTGCTTTGGCGCTGTTTGTTATATCCAAAGTCATTGCATATTCTAAATTGTTTTCTGGTTTTCCATAGTTCATCCTCGATTTTTTTTTCCTTCAGTTTCTGAAAGGCTGTGAGTGGTCGAGTCTCGGAATCTTTGCTTGTCTGAAAGACACATCATCATTTGTCTTTACCTCGATACGGAGCTATCTTGATTGTAAAATCCCAGGCCAGAAACGGCATGTGCAAACCCGTATCATTGATCTGCCCACAAACTTCAGGTGGATAAGGCGAACGTGATGTCTCTTTTTAGAAGTAGCTTGCCGATAGCCCAGGAAACCATGCTTTGTTAAGTGCTTTCTATTATTCCCCGACTGGCCTGCCATAGCAACGCATCTTCCGATTAATAGTGTATCAGAAATTTGTGGAGAGCTCTTGATATCAGCACTCCTCAGTTTTCCAACAGTAAATTCCACGTGTTAGCCAAAAGTCCATTATTTTTAATTGATTGCCAGAGAGAAGGAGCAAGGGAGAGAGAGAGGGAGAGAGGGAGAGAGGAACGGCCGTCGGTTACTCACTCCGCCCACCGATGCATTCACTGCCTGCCTCCCCTACGTGCCGACCAGAGACTGACCCCCCTGCCTTGGCGTGTGGGGACGTCACTCTGACCAACCGAGCGCCCCGCTAGGGCCCGAAGCTCCAGTGTCCACGGCTCTGTTTACTAACGGTGCAGCTAGCCCCATAGTTCCAACACAGGCTGGAATGTTACTTCCCTTCGGCTAACACCGCCAGCCTGCCGGCCGGTGAGGGTCCCCCTGGCGTCTTCCTCAGGGAGAGGCCCCCTGGGTCACGTCCTCTGGCCCTTGGTTCTCGGGTCTGTAGACCCACCTGTGGCTCTTTTAAGGGTTTCTCCTTACTGGCCTCCGAGTCTCTTACTAAGAGCTGCTGCTGTGCATTCTCTTGTGGCCCACCGGATCTCTTAATGGTGTGTGATCTTCATACTTTCGGAGCCTCCCTGTCCCCTCCCCTGGAAACACTGAGTCGCGGTGAGAAGATCAGGGTGGTCATCTGGAAGCCAAAGTCGCAGGTCTACAGATGAGGTGCCCGCGGACCACACTGTGCCTTAACCACCTGGCCTAGGGGTCTGTCCGTCCCGAGGCCTGCACACGCCCCTCTGCTTGATGGCCTCGTGCCGGGGCTCTGCTGAGCCCGCTCTGGATGTTGTCTTCTCAGGGTTAGATTTCCTGTCGTGCCAGGTCCTGCCACCTTCTCCCCTCCCGAGACTGTCTTGTGGTCTTCCTTCACACTCAGTGCCGAGGAACTTGCCTGTTCTTGGGTGTCTCCCCTAACTGCTGCTCTAGCCGCCCGCACTGCCGGCGGCCTCCTGTCTTGCTCGGTCTCTCCACTGGCCTCCGGCACAAGCTGCATGAAGTGGTGTCTGTCTTAGAGTAAAGCGCATCGAGAGTGTGTCTGCGTATGAGGAGCAGAGAGACGGGACTGATCCTGGCCCTCTGGTCACTCTCCGTGTGCCTCTGTCTCGACCCCCGTTAGGTTGGCGGACACACCATGCTCCCCATCCGCTGGATGCCCCCCGAAAGCATCATGTACCGGAAGTTCACCACGGAGAGCGACGTGTGGAGCTTCGGGGTGATCCTCTGGGAGATCTTCACCTACGGGAAGCAGCCCTGGTTCCAGCTCTCCAACACAGAGGTACCGGGCGGGGCGGGGCGGATGGGGCCTCGCGTCGGGGGGAGGCTGCTGACAAGGGGTGTCTCGGGCCAGGGTTTAGACACAGTGACAGAGCGGGAGGTCGGAGCCGGCAAAGTGGACATGGGCATGAGAAGGAACGGGGGAGAGCTTCTTGGCAGGAAAAGATGATAGCTGTAGGAGGCTAGGGATGATCTTCAGGAGAGGGTGAAGTCACACGTGTGAGTTGAGAGGCAGGGCAATGTTCTGTTTGCTCTGCCACACTTAAAAATCACAAGTGGTGACCACAATGAGCCACCGTGAGTTTTTCAGTTGTCCCGTCTGGTGGGAACACCTCCTGTCTAGTGCGCCCCAGTGACCTGCGTCCCCGGAGGCCTCGGGCAGCCGGGCCTGGGGCAGGGCGGGGCCCCGCACTCGGGAAGGCAAAGGTCACGTCCTTGGTAGAGAGGCGTGGGGACTCCTGGGAATGAAGTGGATTATAACAGCAAACATACTGATGATTAACACTCTGTGTATAACTTTAATTTACGCTAATAATAAAAACACTAATTAAATTTTAATAATTAATATTAGTGCCAGGCACTTCTCTAAGCATACGAGCTATATTGACTCAGTGCTTTCTCAACGCCTATTGAGATTCAAGACGAAGGAAGGAAAGGGAGGTGCTGGGGGTCCCCGGATGCACTGGCCAGTGTCCCAGAGGGGAGAGCTCCCGGGACGGACGTGGAGGAGGCTCGGCCACGTCTGGGCTGGGGCCGGGTGGCCCCAGGTACCCGTGCGGTGCGCAGACAGTGCGTGGCTCGGGTTCCGGACTCAGCAGACCTGTATAAGACGGCGATTATTTTCATGCTCTTCTGCTTTCTGGAAAAACATGAGCGTGAGGGCCTTTTAATATTGGAATCATATCTGGGTAATCAAGAGATTCATCTTTCTTCTTGGAAGCCGTGTTCCTCTTTGCTCCCCTGTGCCCCGACCGCTCGATTAAGTGAATGTCAGAGGCTGCAAAGGAGGCATGTCTTCGACTCGGCGCTCTCTCATCGTTCACAGGCTGGATGGGCCCTGATCAGATTTCCCAAAATGAGACAAAACAGTTTAACGACCTTTGAAAACAATGAGAGAGTGTGTGTCAGAACCCATTTGCTGTGGTGCCTTTAAAGATTGCTGCTGTCTCCCCGGGGCTGGGCTTGGTGGGGAGCACTCTCGAGCACACCTGCCCGTTCACGTCCCCTGAGCGCCGTTCGGGGCGTCTGGCGGTCTGTGAAGGTGGGCCTGGGCGGGGGCGTCACCGGCAGCCGGGATGCCCAGGCAGGCTCCCCGGGGCCGGCAGGGTGTCTGCATTCACTTCTCACTCCACCTGGGGAGGCGTCAGCCTTGAAGGCAGGCGTTCTGCCCCCGTCCCCTCCCCCTGCCCACCCACTGCAGCAGCCCAGTTCCGGCGGCCACCGGTCCCTGGGTTCTCTACGGGGTCGGGCGGCCTGGGCAACCCCACGTGGGCAGGGGCGCTGCTGAGGGTATCGAGTCTTGGTGCCGCCAGCGGCTGCTGCACTTTAACCTGGGTCCCTTTTCCTGGGAAGGGAATGGTGGGTAGACACGGGGCTCTAATAAGAGTAGGGGACGTGAGCTGTCAGACCCCCATCAGGTTGGCAGAGAGGGGAGCCCAGAGAGCCATTGCAGACCCCGGGGTGAAGGTGACCAGGAAGGTGACACTGATGGTTTGACAAGCCAGCCAAGAGTCAGAGTGACACGCGGTCACACACTAGACCGGACGCTGTTGGGGGCAGCGTGGGGAGATAGCGGGAGAGAAAAGGCTCTTTTCTCCCCCAAATAAGCGTAGACAAGGGGAGGCGAAGAGAGGAAGTGACAGTTTTCAGGTACTCAACCGGAGACGCTTCTGTGCATTTTGTCATCGCCACCTGTCCTCCAGTGAGGGGACTGCAGCTCAGGGTGAGGGGTTGGCCCCGGGTTGTCCAGGGGTGGAGTGAGGAGTCAGAGAAGTTAAAACTGCCTGAGACCTGGAAGGCGAAGCCTTGAAAATCCACACATTCTGCGTCAGCAGAGAAGTCCACGGAGGAATTGGAACTGGACCGCACATTACGCGCTGGGTCCTGGGTGCCCGGCTGGGGCGGGTCTAGCCATTCCGTGCCTTGCTTCCCCCCACTCCTCCTCACGGAGTCCCCTGCAGGGTGTGGGGTCATGTAGTCCCTTTTCCTGTTCTCATTTGGTCCCTACAACGCTCCCAGGAGGTCAAGTAGACATTGGACCCCCCTCTTCCAGGGAGGATGCTGAGGTCCTGTGGGGCTAACTGTACTGGCTCTGACCGCCCGGCGGGGCGCCAGGGAGTGAAGGGCCGGAGAAGAAATGGCATACACGGTGCAGTGCGGAGAGCAGGGCAGGGGGCCAGGCCGAGGACGGGGCCTGTGCCGTGGCGTGGGGACACGCGTGGCGATGTGCTCAGAGGCTGTGACTGAGGGGAGCTGGCCAGGAAGTGCGGCGGAAGGGGAGAGGGCCGTGCAGGGACCTTGGTGCAGAGAGCTTTATCAAGGGGGTTTCAAAGTCACGCAGGCTCATAAGATGGGGAGGGACAGCCCAAGGCCAGTCCCACTCCACGTGGACAGTGAGCACAGCCCAGTCACCCAGCCGGGCTTCAGGACTAGAAGGGGAGGAGTGAAGGCAGAGGAAGCGTGCATTGGGAGGCCCGGGCGGGGGGATGGGGGGTGCATGCCCAGGGCATCCAGCAGGGGGCACCTCCGACCAGTGCCGGCCGCCGTCCTCATGGCCCGCACATGCAGGACACACGAGAAACTCCGCGCTGCCTTCAGCCCTGCCCTCGGCCTGTGCCTAGGGCACGCGGCTATGCATGGAATGTGGCCGGGGACGTGGCGGCCACCCGCTGGGGCCCGGGCTGAGCTCTGATGTAACGCCCTCGCTCTCCTCGCTTTTCAGGTCATCGAGTGCATCACCCAAGGCCGCGTTCTGGAGCGGCCCCGCGTCTGCCCCAAGGAGGTGTACGACGTCATGCTTGGGTGCTGGCAGAGGGAACCGCAGCAGCGGTTGAACATCAAGGAGATCTACAAAATCCTCCACGCGCTAGGGAAAGCCACCCCCATCTACCTGGACATCCTCGGCTAGCGGTGGCCGGCGGTCACGACCTCGTCCTCCGCGGCCGCCTCTCTCCCGGCCTCACACGCCCCCTTTCCACCTCCCTGCTCCTCCCCTCCACCCTTGACTGAAGCGAACATCTTCATATAAACTCAAGTGCCTGCTACACATACAACACTGAAAAAAAAAAAAGAAAAAAACCGCTGTAAGGCAAGTCGGCATATATATATATTTATATATCTAACTATCTATCTATATCTACAGAGAGATACCCTGTCTAATGCAGACAGAAGCTGCTGCTGCAGAAACCACAAGACTGTAACGACAACTCAGAGGTTCTTAAATGTTGTGAGCGCGAGGGACCCTGCCCTTGGACTGAAGCTGCAGCCCAGGCCACGTCAGCTCCAGCGTTTCGGAGCCGAAGGCCGTGGTGGTGCACAGGGACAGTCTCGCGATGCACAGGGACAGTCTCGCGGCGGGGTGGGCGGAGCCACCCCGCGCCTGGAACCGCCGGCGCAGGCGCGGTGCCCTCGGGCCCTGCGCGGGTGCGTGCACCAGCCGTGCTCTGGCAGGAAGTAACACTGGACCCGGCGCCTTGTGTCCCCACTGGCCCTTGTCTCCACGCCTTCCCTCTTCGGGAGAAACCCCGCGCACTTCAAGACCGTTTTGAAATTTGCCCGCTCCAGGAAGGGCAGTCCTGACCTGACGCTTTCGGGAGTCAACGGGGGCGCCTACAGGTAAACGCTGGAAAGGAGCGACAATGAAACCGAGTCCTGCAGACGGGGGACTGCGTCCGTCTTGGGTATCGGCCGCGCCCCAGGCCCTTGCCGGCATCGAAGGGGATGCGTGATCTGCTCTCGGAACATCAGGACCTGGGCTTCTGGACGGCAAGGACGACGGAACAAGCTGCAGCGTCGACCCATCTGCAGGCGCCGCCCCTGTCTTTTCGTCACCGCCCACGCTCAGGCCTTTGGGCAGCTGGGGGGCAGGGATCGTCCACCCTGTTGCCCGCATCTGTGGACACAGAGGGTCTCCACAGCAGGACTCTTAGTCCTCCTGGGTCCTCTGCTCCTCATTCTGCTTCCCCGAGGTCCTCGCCCCCCTTGCTGGCCTCCCCGGAGTCCCAGCGAGCCACTGCGGGAGGGGCGGGTCTCGGGAGGCTGGCTTCAGGGAGCAGAGGAAGCCTCTGGCACCTGCAGCCGCCCCTTGGCATTCTGCTCACGTCTCCAGCCCACGGAGGGATTGATGCATCTGCCTCGGAGATGCTGGGGAAGAGCGGAGGCTGAGGAATCGCTCTCGGGGGCGGGCGGGGTGGGGGAGGGGCAGAGGCTTCTCTGGGAGATGTCCAACTCCTGGCCGCTGCTGTGGGCCCGGCATCTTAATGAGCTCGAGCCCTGACTGGGGGGAGAGTGGGGCGTCTGGTCTGGCGCCGGCTCCCTCTGCCCTCCCGGCTGCGGCTGTCAAGGACTGAGTGCAGTGTCTCTGGGCCTCCCGCCATGCGCCACATACACGGCAAAACACCGGCGAAGCCCGTGGCCTGGCCCCGCAGAGCCTCCTGCCGGGGAGGCCAGGACGCGCCCCTCCCAGGCCGCCAGCCCCACCCGCTGCTCCAGGCCAAGCACAGAGGGACCGGAGGGACTGGTGTTGGCCCACGGGAGCCTCGTGGCAGCCGCGCTCTGACCTGCGCTCTCCCCGGCCAGCTGAAGGGACTGTCGCCGTCCTGGATGTCCCGGTCACCTGCAGCACGGGCCTCCCTGTGTCGGGCTCGGGACTGAACTCTTTGTTTGTGGTTTTGCTTCTTTTTGTAGACCAACGAATGTTTTTATGCAAACGGAAAAGAGCTGCGCTGGGACTGTGGGGTGCGGGTGGGCTTCTGGGATCAGTGAGGCTGCTCAGCTGGACGGTGGAGGGGTGGGGTGGGGGGCTTGGAGAGGGCTGGGGGGGGCTGGAGCTGGCATGGTGCCGCGTTCCCAGCCCCGAGGAGAGCGCTCTGGGTCAGCTCCCGCAGAGGAGACCCTCGCTGCCCTGTGGCAGTGATCCCTCTCCCTGCCGAGGGCCCTGGGCCGCTGTTAGTGCGGGCTGAGCGGTGCGGTCAGGCTGTGAGCTGGGTGACCCGGGGGAAGGGGTGCCTGCAGGGAGTCCCCCGAGGACCCTGTGTGGCTTCCGTCTCCTGGGCGGTGTTTGCAGAACCTCGCAGTCACTGATGGACTGGGAAGAGGGGGCAGGCGGGAAGGGCGTGGAGGTTGCTGGGCATCGGGGCCTGAGAAGAGTGTTAGGGTGTGACGCAGGGCCGGGGTCCTGGTGGCCTGAGGGAAGGAGGCGGCTCCCTTGGGAAGGAGGGGTGCCCTGAGGGAGACCGAGGTCCCCAGACACCCTGATCTTGGTCCCCCAGGCCTCCAGGTCTGCCGTGGAGTTGTGCCTTTGTCATGTCCGTCGAGAACGGCCGCCTTTCGTCCGGGCAGGAGGAAAAGGGCAGCAAGCAGTGGGAGCGGAGAGGGGGCCCTCATTCTGACTGCCTTGGTGCGACTCCCCATGCAGAGTCCGCTGGGGCTGCAAACGGCTGGACCTCTGCACGGGAAAACACGGGAGGGGGTGCTCGCAGCTGGTGAAGGAGGCAGAGAGCAGAGCTGAGAGGCGGGAGGGGCACCCTGGGGCCCTGCATGGGGGGGGGTGCGTGGCCTACAGTGTTCCTCCTGCGAGGAGAGGGGGCCATGAGACCCACTGCACCCTGACTCGGCTTCCCTCTCTCTCTCGCCCCCTCACACCTCTGATACTCCCGGATTCTAAGCGTGTCTTGTCGCTGTGTCATTTTGCTCAGCACCTCCTGTAACTTAAGGACAGCCCTCCGCATGCAGCCTGGCGCGGCGGCGGGCGGCCGCCTCCCAGGGTTCGCCGGCCTGGGAAGTCCCCCGAGGCCACGCCTCTCTTCCTTTGCACTTTCGTCGCCGGAGTTCCGAGGCCCGCGTGTCTGACGCTACTTTAGGTCCGGGGGTTGTATCCGGGCCCTTGCCCCTGCCCAGCCTTTCTCCGCACCCACAAAGCACCGGCGATGGCCCACTTATTTATTTATTTATTTCTAAAGCGCGTAATGTGGTTAAACGAGTCTCGAAATGCCGTCCCTGGGGCCGGGGCCTCCATGCCAGTCCCCTCCATCCCCGCGGCCACACCCTAAAGGCCCGGCCAGAGCGACTCCGAGTGCGGCTCGTTGGGGGCGCCGCGCTGCCCGTTGCTGGGTGCTCCAGGTCACCCAGGCTGGTGTCCCTGCCGTGGCGTCCCTCCTGGGTCCCCTCCTGGACCGAGCCTGAGTGACCCGCTGTTGGATGCCCGCCTGGGAGCAGGGTGCCTTGGCCAGGGCGCCGTGGCCAAGGGCCGCCCCAGTTCTTTGCTTTGGACTCGAACCCCATGCTGTCCTCTAATCACATCCCTGACCTCGGATTTAGGGGGTCACCAAGTCCCCTGTAGTTAGTGGGCCGAGGACTGGACGCCCCTTCCACTCAGCAGAGATCACGCACAAATCAGCCCCGGACGGGGGACGGGGCTTCCCCTCAGTCCCCTGGGGCCAGGCGGAACGCTGCCACTCTCCCTTGGCCACGCCTCCTCTCAGACCGCGCTGCTGCAGGTCTTTCTGGTGCTAAACACTGCAGAAACCAACACCCACGGGGGGCTGACCGACACCCTCGGGGGCCTCGGGAGACCCGACCCAGAGGCAGGAGGGAGTCAGCCGCGCCGGAGAGCACAGGACCCACGGCGAGCCAGGCGGGATGTGAGCGGTGGGCAGACGCTGGGCTCCTGGCCCCCTCCTGGCGGCCCAGGTGACCTTGGCCCTATCAGCCGCGCTCTCAGACGGTCATATTTTTCAGGGGAGACGTGTAAGAGGTCGTGCTAATTATTCTTAGAGTCCTTTTCAGTTAAAAAAAAAAATCTATGTCTGGTGCCACTTTTTTTTTTTTAACTTGTGAGAAATAAGAGAAGAAAAGCTTGCTAGAAATAAAGCAGTGGAAGCTAGGCGAGGGCAGGGGGGAGGAGGAAACACCCGTGGCGAGAGCGGATTGTAGGAGTCAAGCGAGGGAGGCTCAGGGACCGTTAGGTCTGAGGGGGGTCGGCGGGGTGGGGGGGCGCCAGGCAGGTGAGCCAGGGACCCCGTTCTCACGCCCTGTAAGGCACGCTCCCAGCAGACCCCGCGGCTCACGGCCACCAGGCCACCCTCTCCCCCTGTTCCACGCCACGCCAGCATACCCAGTGCAGGCAGACACTCTCCCGAGCGGTGGAGGCCGGCCTGCCCACCTCTCATGCAGGCCGCCAGCCCACTGAACTCGGCCAGAAGGCACGGGATCATCACCTTCAACTGCTGCCGTGAGGAGCCGTCGGACAGAGGGCCGAGTGGGGGGGCCGCACGCTCTTCACCCTGGTTCTCATTCGGGGATGACCCGTGGGCTTCTGTTTCCCAGACCAGACAGGAGCCGCGGCGTCTTAACAGGAGGCATCGTCCTGGCAGTGGACAGCCCCGAGGGTCGGGGTCTTCCCTGGGCTGTGCTCAGAGCCTGGGACGGAGGCACCTCTGGTGGGGGTTTGCGGAGGGAGCCCGTGTGCCGGCACTCTGGAGGGCTGGCTGCTTTCACACGCCCCGGGCACGTCCCTTGTCAGCCCTGGTTCGGAGCCAGCCTTCCGGAACACCTGTGGCGTTCGCCCTAGAGCAGCTGGCACCTTTCTCCCAGGCCTCGGTGCTGTGTTTTTTTTCGGTCCCCGGAGCACCAACGATTTCTTTAATACCAAATTTATTTTGGCCAACCCATAACAGGTTTTAGGGAAAGGAATCCAGCGTTTCTTTTTTGTACCATTATTTCATGGTATCAGCCTAAGCGTCAGGGAAGGTTTGGGGACTGCTTACTGTCACCGGTGTGGCCCCCAGAGGAGAACGCAGGCCTCACACACCGCCCGCGTGTCGGCGTGTGCCATGGGCATGGCTTCAGGGAGCATCTGCGTGGAGCCAGCGGGCCGAGGCCCCCCAGCTTGATCTGCCCGAGCCTCCCATGCCTCGGGGATGCACTGGCCAGCGAGACGTTGGGGGACGTGCTGGTGGGAACCCCGCCATCCGGTGCTCCCCGAGTTAAATGAGACCCGTGATCACTCGCCGAGCACCCGAAAAGGCACTTCCTGGTGTTCTGGTAGGTTGGACAGGAGCCGTTTCCGCCGCGCCCTGTCCTATCCAGGGCGGGAGTGTCCTTTGCAGGCACTGCAGGTGGAGCCAGGCCATCGCGGGGTGGGACAGACAGACTGGGAGATGTGGATGGTCGCGCGCTCTTTCTGAGAGGCGCTGGAACGGCGGAGGGCGCCGTGAACCTCTGTGTGGTGTCACTGCGCTGGGAAGTAGGACTTCCGCTGTGCGCAAGAGCCGCGGCCCCCGCCCGAGGACCCGCATCCGGCTCCAAGGGAGTCTGCTTCCCTGGCGCGTTCTTCCCCGCGCGTTTCCCTGGTGTGTCGCCGTTCCCTCGATGCCTCCCCAAGATCCATGTTCCACAGCGAGAGCTGTCTCTGCCCGGGGAGACACCGCTCTGTTCCTCAAGCAGACCCGTGGAGACGGGGAGCCCCTCGCAGAGTACTTAGAGTTCTTGATCAAAGTAAGAGCATTAAGACTCCCTTCCCTCTTTCACTGAGTTCCATTCTTAAATCAGGGCCTGGCTTGAAACCTGCAGTGGGGAACGGCGTCTTTCACCGGTGTGCCGGGCTGCGCGCCCTCCTGCAGAGGCAGCACGGTGAGCCGAACTGATTTTTCCTCCGCGCCAAGGGGGGCGCTGCTCCGTGAGCAGTGCCGTGGCCAGCAGCGCTGGACGCCTCTCCTGGAAGATGTGTCAGGGTCTGGTAAATGAAGACAGGCCTGCGGGGCGTCTTGAGAAGTGCTGGGTGCTCAGGTCTTGCTCTTCCGTGTGATGCCCCAGGAGAGAAGTGGGCTTCTCCCCCCTGGAGACGGCGGCAGAGGGGGACGCCCTCGGTGAAGGCCGAGCGGTGGGCTGAGAGGTTGGGTATGTGTTCGCCGAGTCTCTTGCATGGAGCCTTCCTGGAGCCCAGCGAGAAATGTGAGCGTGCAAGCCCTTCCGGTAGTTAGTTACCCTTTCATTCAGGAGGAGTGCGTGGGGGTCATAAAAGAAAAAGCAAGACAAACATGTTAACGGTGGGACGCACTGGAACGAGTAGCGTCCTTACACGTCGTGTTCTGTTTTTCCCGGTGAAGGGCCCCGCCCCACCTCCGTGTGACTG